GAGGCAGAAAAAAAGGCACACCGCTTCCAGCACTTCCAGTCCTTTTTTCTGTCTCAACATGCACAGGATTAAGCTGTGAGGAGCGCCTTTTTCCTTCCTTTTTCCAAGCAGGGACTGCTCAGCTCCTGGAAAGGATTCCTCTTTAACCTCACATCCTTCCTGCAAAACGAACCAAGAAGGTGGAGAGTGAGGCGCTACGGGCTTTTTTTTTTGGACAGAGTTCGGGTTTCAGCACAAGGTTTCGTGGGTCCAAATCTCGTTCCTTCATCCCAGTAGCTTTGCAAACTGAGCCCCGAAAACCGGCAATTAGCACAGAACAGGTTGCGAGCTCCTTTGCGCCGATCCTGCGCAGGAATGTGCAGACTGCGGGTAACTCCAGATTTGGGCCGATCCCGCCAGCACGCGCGGGCTCTGCTCAGGCTGCCTTCCACGGAGGACAAACGCGCATCGAGAGCCGCCACACACCTCCCGCTCGCACGCCTTCCCGCAACGGTGAATGCCTGCCGCAACCTGCTTCCTGCCCGCCGCGCCTTCCCTTGCTGACCCGGTTTCTCCCCTCTGGAAACAGGTTTCCCTGCTCCATCAGCACCTGTTCCGCAGCCACCCCAGTAATTCACTGCGGTGGCCTCTGCTTCTGCCTCCCGCCCTCCGCCCACCGAGGAGCTATTTTGGGCACCGGCAGCTGAGCGGCTGGAGAGGAGGCACGGCTCATTGTTCGCTCCGGGCCCGGTCGAGCGCAGGGAACGCGCGCCCGCCTCCCCCCCCGCGCCGCCCCGGGGGCGCCCCTTCTCCAGGCGGGCAGCAGGCCTCCGCGACGAGCCCGGGGCGCGGGGCGCGGCTTCGGCGCCCGGGCCCGTGCGCGCCCAAGGTGGGCATCCACAATGGCAACACGCTCCGGCCAATCGCGGCGCGGAGGCGAGGGCACGGCGCGTCCTGGAAACAGCCGCCAGCCAATCGCAGGCCCTGCCCGCGCGCCCCGGGCCTCGCTTCACGCGCGCGGCTCCGGGCCCGGCAGCTCCGCCCGCGCCCGCTCGCGCGCCCCTTCGCTCGGGGGCAGGCAGGGAGGCAGGCAGGGAGGCGGGCAGACAACAAAGCCGCCCGCGAGGACGCTGGCCGGGGCCCCCCGCTGTCTGGAGCCTGCCAAGGGATGACATCAGTCTGGGAGGGAGGGAGGGAGGGAGGGGGGGGGGGGGGGGCGAGGACCAAAACACTGGCTGCCTTAAAAGGGCCGCGTCGCACCCCGCCGGGCGGGGGCAGCGCTCTCGAGCGCCCACGCGCGTCGCCCGTCTCTGCAGGCGCTGCGCGCACGTGGCGCTGAGCCGCGTCCTCGCCTAAACGAGGGGAGAGACCCCGGGAGAAGCGGCGGGGACGCGGAGGAAGGCCGGGGGACGAGGAGGAAGAGGGGCTTCCGAGCCCCCCGGAAAAGTGAGTTTGGGGGCAGGGCGGGAGCAAAGAGCAAGGCGGAGGCAGGCAGGGAACGGTTGCTGTGAGGCGCAAAGGGGATAATAAGGGGGATTCCTGTGCATAATGCGACTGGGCAAAAGGAGGGCCAAGGGGCAGCGATGGGGCCTGCCCGAGCCTACTTGGTAAGGCTATGGAAGAGGAAAGATGTGACCCGGGATTTCCTGGCTCACGGCCCTCTCTCTGAACCGCTAGATTTGCATTAAACAAAGTTGCTTGCGGTTTTGCAACTGAGAAAGCTCGCAGTGGTACAGGTGCATGAATGGGGAGCCGCAAAAGGCAGTGGGGGGACTGCTCAAAGACCCCTCTGGGCATCGTCCCACAGCTGCTGCAGGTAAGTTTATTTCCTCCTTTGGTCAAGCTGTCCAAGATGAACTTACATTTTTCAAGTGGGGCTTGGGGACGGTTACAGAAATGTCTTATAAAGAGTTTATATACCTGTAAAAAACCAATTATTTCACCCCATTAGGAATCCACTAGGCCAGCCTTATCCAAACCTGCTATTGAACAACACGGATGATTCCTAGGTAGCAAAGCTTTCTCTGAAGTAACTCCAGTAAAACAAACACAGAACTGAGGTGCTTCCTGTTAACAATGAATACTAGCCAAAATTAGCAAGTAGGCCTTTGGATAAGGTATTTGCAGATTTCAGAGTGGAGAAGGCTGCAAGTTTCATTCAAATTATTTTGCAAAAACACAGACTGTTTTTAAGCACATTTGTTGTGCTTACATTCTGCCATGTAGTAATTATCCTTGGGGGGGGGGGGCTACATCCTACATGGTCTCATTCAATTGTTTGTGTCTTAACAAGTATCATGTTCTCCAAAGAGCAAAGGAGCCAGAGATGGACTTCTTGTTACGTGATTCTCTCCTGCAACCTGGGTGATACAGCTCAAAGGCAGGACTGCCACAAAGCCCTGTTCCTTTTTCCCATTTGGTCACCCCTACTCCCAATAATTGTGCATAGGAGGGTAGACTTAAAAGCCTTCACACAAACCTCCTTCCTCTGACCCAACCCAACGGTCCTTTATCCAGAATCCTGCAGTTTTAAGCTTGTGCTTCTATGGCCCCCAAAGCTTGCTGATTACAGGTGTCATTACTTGCTGTCAAGTAATCACTGGCCTCTGGCAACATTCACACAACACAATAAGCAACCCTTCCTGGTTACCACTGTTCATGCTTTTTATACCATGATCTACCTAACAGATAAGTGGCGTCCACTTTATCATGGCTTCCATCCTTGGTCCTCCCTCTTTTGCAATGTATCCCATCCATCAATGTATCCAATGTATCCCATCCCATCAAATTCAATCCCAAAATGCATCACTCCCTGCCTATATCACCTGTCTCTTCCTCATTGGAATAATGTATACTAATAATTTGGCTCTGTGTCTTTGTTCATGCCTAATCCGGATGGATCCTAAATTACCTTGTAATTATAGACAACAATCCAGACCTGAGCCACTCTGTATGGGTGCCTTCTCGATCAGATCTCTTACACGGGGAGAGAGAGAACTATTGTGAAAAGTGGGGCGAAAAAGCAAGGGGATGCAAGAGGCGTCGTCTCTTGCCAAGCTCCAGTACCATTGTTCTTGTCTCGAAGGATGCTTTCCGCTCAGATCTGCAGTGGGAACCTGGAACTTTGGCTCAGACAAATAGATGCAAGTGCCATATTGGCTGTGGAGGATGGTATCTAAATCCCCAAATAAATATTTGCACAGAAACCAGTCCAGCTATGTTCAGTAGGGGTGACTCCCAAGGAAATATGCAGTATTTGCCTCCGACTGGACTCGGACTGGATCTGGCAACCGGCTGACAGTGACCACTGCCGGCTCACTCCAGCGCATATCTTGGCCTGGGGGCGGGGCGGGGGGGGCTCAGTAGTTGACTTCCCAGGCTCACTTCCTCATTGATAAAATTACTGTGAAGCTGCCTCCCTTTGTAATGCAGAAACCAGTCCCCAGAGAGAGCCTGACTTTATGTCACAACATTCATTGACATTCAATGTCAACATTCATTGACATTCAAAGAGGTTTTCCCTAATTCATTTAGGGAAGTGAATTTCCCTATTTGACCCACAGTGGTCCTTAAACAACATGTGAACCATGCTTGATGACCAGCAGCACTATGGCAGAATTGTTTCCCCTCAAATAATTTCCCGTGGCTGGATTCATCGGGTGGTGGATTCATAGGGTGGCCGTGGGTTGACCTGAAGCAACAAGCATATAAAGTCATAAACAACCCATAATGTGCCAACCATGTCATGCAAACTGGTTCATTATCTGAGCATTCCTTACCACTGTGCAAGCACGGCCAACGCCATTTCCAATGTTTCTGTTGCTACACGCCATCAAGTTGGCTCCAGCTTATGCTGACCTGATCGAAGGATCAAAGAAGATGGAGGAGGAGATGTAAGTTGCCTTGAGCCCTTTGTAGGAAAAAGGCAGGATATAAATCCAAAAATGAATGAATGAATGATGACGGACGGACGGACGGACGCCCTCCAGAATGACTATCCGTGGCAGCCCTGCTCAGCTCTTGGAAGCCCAAGGCTGCTTCCTTGATGGAGTCCGTCCCTCTCCTGTTTGGTCTCCCACTTCTGCCTACAACTCTTCAGGCATGAATGTTTTCTCCAGAGATTTTTGCCTTCTTCCTGCCAGCTCTGCACTGTGCAGCTTTCACGCCCTTACAAGGTGACCAGGAACCCAGTAGCCTGAATAAACTTGACCTTGGTTTCTCCAGCCAGGCATGGTTAAGTTGGATGATCTTTTCTCCTCCTTTTATTGCTGTCTTTCCAAGTTTTTGTCTTCTTCCAGTTTATTGGCTGCAGCCTCCCACTGAGCTGAGGATGGAGCCAAGGGATGCAACACCTGTCACAAGTACAATTTCGGTTTCCACGTTGGTGGAACTCAAGTCCCATTAAGTTTCACAGCTCTGAAACAGAACCGGCATTGGGAACGGTCCACCCCTTGCATTGTGCGAATGGAAAGACCGGCCCCAGCCCGTCCCCGGGGCGCTGCGCGCCGCGCGGGTTCCTTCTGGACACGCGTGCGCCAAAAGGAGCCGCGCGGAGGCGGCCTTGCGCGTCCCCGCCGCGACCCCACGTGGAGCAGCCGGCGCCCCCCGTTCGACGTCGCCTCTTTAAAGCGCGGCCCGCTAGGGGGCGGGGCGGGGCCCGCCGCGTTCGGCCCGCTTCCTCATTGGCCGAGGGCGCCGCTAGGGAGCGCGTGCGCCCGCGCTGGGGGGGCGGAGAGCAGATTCAAGCTAGCCCGGCATCGCCGCGCGCTCTGATTGGCCAGGACGCGGGTGGCAGCTATAAAAACAGTGCGGTCCGCTCGGCTCGCTGGAATCCTCCGCGACGGTGGCGGCAGCATGGGAAGGCGCGGGCGGTGGTAGTGCAGCAGCCGCCACATCGATCAGGGAGGTCGGCCGGCCGGCCGGCCGTTCGTTCGCTGTGCGTGTGCACGGGCTGCGGGGCGTGCGGCGTGCTTGAGCTGCGGGGCCGATCGCGACCGGTCGCCCGGGCGCAGCGGGGCGGCATGGACTGCAAGCTGGAGGCGCACCGCATCGTCAGCATCTCGCTGGGCAAGATGTACAGCGCGCGGGGCCAGCGCGGCGGCGTCAAGTTGCACAAGAACCTGCTGGTGTCGCTTGTCCTGCGCAGCGCGCGCCAGGTCTACTTGAGCGAGCTCGACGGCGCCCCGGCCCCCGCCGCGGCGCCCCTGCCGCCGGCGGATCCGCTGCGCGGAGGCGGCGCGGGGGAACGCCCGGCGTCGCTGCCGCGGCCGCCCCTCTTCCCTCCGCCCCGCGCCTTCCTCCGCCCCGCGCCGGCCGCACTGCCGCCGTCGGGGCCGCGCGCTGCACCGCCGCCCTGGCAGACCCCGCGCTGCCCGCGCCCCCGCGGCTGCTGCCGCGCCCCCCGCC